GAGCAGCGCTCCCAAGAGAGCCAAATATGAGTCCCACCTCTAAAGCCCTGGACTGTGCCATTCAGCGCTCTGAAAATCTCCTGGCTTCTTCATGACATCTGTGTGATCAATGGAAGCTATAGTAAGTACTAAAAATGTCAACCACTTTAGCCTGCCATTTTTCAATTAGAAATTTTGAAACTCGCTTGCAGTTTTGTGAAAGGGGGTTAAGCGGGGATGGGAAAGAATTTTTCTATGACTCAATCATCAGCCAAAGCAGAATGGTGGTGAAGTTGCCTCCTCATGACTAAAGCCAGACTTCCAGACCTAACAACCTGCTCTCAAGGTTAAGTGTGATGTCCAGGCGGCGGGTCAGTCACTTTTACTCACTAGCACACTTGACCCACCTGATTATAAATGGCCTCTGGTCTTAAAAGCAGGTTCAGGCTCACAGAATATACTTTTTAGAAGATAATTCTTGAGCATGAAAAACCCCAGAGAGCCCAGAAACACAATCCTAGCCTCCTGAAACCTTTCCAAGCCCGGTAAGAGGGAAACGGCAGGCAAATAGACCCAGACTCAATGGAGAGGCTGGGAGCAGTTCCAAGGACACAGCAAGAAATCATCTCAGTTAATGCTGCACTTGTGTGTATCAAATGTGTATTTGAAACCCACTTTCATCTCTGCTGTATATTGTCCTTGATGAAAAACAGCTGCAGAGTTGGATTATCTACAAGGATAGAAGTATATTATTTGAAGGTCTGATGATAACAGCACATCTTAATGTAATAAAATCAGAGTTTATAAATATGTCTAGGCAGAATGGAAGGGAAGCCATCACCCTCACACCTACGGGCTATAGAAGTTCCCCTGAGGAAGATCCATTTCTGGCTGTCGCCTGAAGTAATATCCGGTGATATCCCGGAGGCCACAGCATCAGAGCACTAAACTCTACTGAGAATCGCCCACGAACCAGACCGCATTCCCTCCTATCTGGGCCTTGACTCCATCAAAACATGCTACTTAGCTTGGTGGACTCCCTTAAATATTTTATTTCAATCACCCTGGAGACAGTAAAAAAAAAACCAAAAAAACAAAAAAAAACCTCAGCGACAGAAGAAGGCAACGTATTCATGGCTGTGGGACTGTCAGCTCTCCCTAGCTGCTGGGGCAGACGTGCACAGCCCGACCCCTTCATCACACACCTGCCTCATTCTGTGTGAACACGTCAAATCCTCGAGCCTGCTTGATTAATCACTCTGCCCAGGAACCTACGGAACAAAGTTCACATTACCCAGAGAGCTGCATGAAGGGGCCTCCAAGGTCAGGATGCAAGGCCAAACAAAATTAACGTGCCTGCCATATCCATCATCCTGTAATCTGCTTCCAGTTCTATAATCCCCAAGCATCCAGACTGTGCATACCAAGAACATTCCTCGTCCACACAGATCAAAATGGTTCATGTATAAAGGGCTCTCAACCCTCCCTACCTCCAAGAAAATCACTAGCTATTTCTATACGTCGAACAGCCCTGGGACTGCAGACAGCTACCCAAATCAAGTCTCTAAGGCCCTGGAAGTTTTAATAATTCTATCATAAAGGTTTCTTCACACATCAAAAAATATGATTTGACCTAAGAATAAAGAATACATTGTTAACTTTTCAGCTATGTACTAACTTGTTTAAATTGTGTAAAGGACACTACAACTATCATTGCACCAAACTGTTTCACAATTAGTTCAAGGGAACTGCTTTCAAAAACTGAACTGATAAAATCAGACACACTCAAAAATATAAGGTATATACTGTACTTAATATTACTTCTCATTTCAATTTCAGAACATATAGAGAATATGTCAGGGGAAGTATTCCTATACCTTTCACTCAGGAGAAGAGGAGATTCAGAGATACTGTGTAAGGGGCTCGAGTCACGCAGCTGATGCTGGGGCTGGAATAAGAGAAGCCCACATCACACTTCTGTTTTCCTCTGATTGATATTATTTTCGAGATTTTACACTATAAACCTCCTGATTCTCTCAAATACTTTACCATACAGATATCACCACAAGGTTATTTGATGCTATAGATCTCTCAAATTTTTTCAATATAATTCTCTAAAAATACTTCACAAAGATTCACATCATAGATCATGTGAATATTATCACTGGATTTGTCCATTTCAAAGTGTACATTTCTAGACTCCGGTCAGAATAGGAAGTTGGACAACCAAGATAATTTATGTTCCATTCATTTACACCCTTGCTATCTGGGGAGAAAAGTTTTAGTTATAAATTAGGGCAATCTATGTGACTTAGGAGTAAGAATTAGAAAGAATGGGGACAGTGTTCTCACCTTTTAAAAATTCAAACATTAGGCTCACTTCTGTGTCCACACTGATTATTCGAGAGTGATACCAAAATACACAATAATCTCAAGAATATTAGGAGTGATTCTTAAGCAAAAACAAAGAAAAAATATCATCGTGGTTTACAGACCACTAGGATTTGAAGTGGCAAGACTTTGATTCATCAAACAATAACCAAATGATTGCTGCGTGTCACAGAAGAATTCTGCATATATTATTTCATTTAATTTTTACACCTTCCTTCTGAGGTTTTCTATACCCATTACTGATGGCGAAGCTGAGGATCATTGAAGGGCCTTGTTGAAATCACACAGTTATGTGACAACACTGAGATCTGAAGCTACACGCATCTTACTCCAACCCTCTCAAAATCGAGATATTCAGGGATCTGAAAAACGTCAGCATTCCCATCCCTCCTCAATGTCAATGATTTGAGCTCTCTGTACTATTCTTGTAACATGAAAATGCAAAATTATTTCAAAATTTTAAAAAAGTTAATCCATCATTAACCATTGCCTCTAGCAGGAAGACAGGAAATCGTTTTCACTAAGGTGAGAAGGTGATGAAGACAGAATGCCATTGAGGCACAGGAAGCAAAGGCCTGGTGCCCACTGTGATAGGTTTTGGGGGAAGGTAGAGGGGAGAGTACTGTGTGGTCATGATCCAGACGTCAATATGAATACTGATTCATTCTTTCTTTCAGTCAACAAATCCCAATTCAGTATCTCCTCTGGGCTGGGTATTGGCAGTATGAGGTGACTACTAAGTAAGGGGCCTGCCCCCTAAGACTCAAGACAGAAGACAGAGAGCGGAATACACAATAAAATACTATACACCGAAAGCCTCTACACAGTTCTGTGTGAAAACTGGGGACTGACACCTGGAGGAGTTAGAGGAACTAACCCCTGGAAGAAGTGACATTTGCATTGGGTTCTCCAAGAATGAGGAGACGTTTTTCTGGCAGAGGAGAGAAGGGTCATTCAGGCGGAGCATACTCCCAGAGCCGTGGAGGTCGCGGAGATCGCAGTGTGTCCTGGAAAGGGAGGATGGTTCTCCAGGGCCGCAGCCTGGGATGCAGATGGAGGTGGGGTGACAGTGAGATGATGCTGGAGAGGCGGGTGGGAACCACGATTCTGGGTTTGCTGAGTGCGGCTCACATTCTGTGCCTTGTGGGGAGCCAAGGTACTCAGGGGAGTGACAAAGGCTGTGATTAGATCACTTGTGTGGTTTTGTGGAAGATGGACTGGAGAAAACCAGACAGGTGGCAAGGAGGCCAGTTGTTATGAACTCTACTTGGAAGACATCCTGGCAGCTTGAAGGTCCTCAGTGACCCTCTAACCTAGTTCTTCACTTTATAAGTGACAAATTGAGGTCTGGAAAGGTTAAGAGACCTGCACGAAGGTACTAACTGGAGAGTAACAGAGCTGGGACCAGAATGAAGACGTTCTGTGGCTGATGCAGGATCCCTTTCATCTGCCTAGACAGCTAAAGAAAATGAACAGCTCTCAAGTCTGGGCTCCTAGGTGTGGCTTCAAGTTTATCCGCTTGAAAAAAACAACAGGAGGGTTAGAAACCAATAGTCGTTAAAAGAGTGAAGAAATGTTTTCACACTGGTTCTACATTCCTGCTGTTTCATGTACCAGATAACTACCCAAGCAACACAGCGTAGTTATTGAGTAAAACAAACAAAAACACAGACGAGAGAACTGAGGGAAAGGATGCAGCTACCGTCTAAATTAACCAAAGTAATCAAATTCTGGAAGTTCACACATGCTGAAATTCAGAGACGTAAACAAAGTTATTTTTGTGTAGCCTAGATCAATTCTTTCCTAAGAGCAGAGGGTCTCTTATTGGGTCACTGATTTAGCTACGTTGTCCAAAAAGAAAGCCAGTCGGCAAGAAAACGTTTCATCCACAAAACAGCTATTCACACCAAAAGATTCCCCAAAGATTCCCCACCAAAAGTAACCTAGGATGATGACCAAAGTCACTGAACTGAGATTCCAAGAGTAATGCCTGGAATAAAATTAAGTTTATTCTGTTTTCCCCAAAATTCAAATCTTTGAATGAAGCAAAAATTCTCAGGATCTGAAAAACCGAATAGCCCCGCTATAGCCCTGTCATAATTTGACCCCAAAGAGAGCGATCTACACAGAGAATTTATTTTCAGGGTAGAAACAGATTTTCTGACACCTGCAACTCTCCCAAAGGGCCCTTGGGATTTCATATCTAAGCATGAAGTAAGTGGTGTGTCAGCAGGATCTCGGGGCTGCCATCCTTCTCACAATGTGACTCAGACTGAGCCCCTTTGTTTAAATTAAAGTGAGTAGCAGGCCAAGGAAGAAGGTATCGGCATTCTTCAAGCCCTCGTTTCATAGTGTATATACCAAACCATTAAAAGAAACAGAGCATGCTGTGTCTTCTATTGGTCACAGATGGGAGAAAATCAGCCACAATAATAAATTCACGGAGGTGGAGTGTGTCGTCACACACGGAGCCAGGATGTGTGATCCAGAAGGTGTGTGGGGGGAGTTAATACCATATGTCGTCTGACTGCCGTGGGCCTGCTCCCCGTCAACAGCAACGAGCTCCTCCAAAACAGCTCCGACGCCGTCCCTGACACCACGGCGCCCTGCCAAACCTGCATGGCTCTTACCAGGTACTGAAGTCGCTGGCGCTCAGTCTCGGGGGTGAATTCCGAAGACATGGGGACAATTTCTCCATTTCTGATGATTATTGCCCTGGAAGGGTGAAAATGCATTGTCAGCCAAACTCACAGGTACCCTGATTCTGTGTTAACTCCACGGCTCGGTTCAGAACACACGAGAAATGCCCAAGAGATACTCTCTCTCCCCACCTGCCCGGCAAGGTTCACAGCTGCCAACTCCGATGCCTCACCGCATTGTTGGGATCTGAACTTTAGGAATGTCACATTCTGGTGCACTTACGTTTTCTTTTTCTGCTAGCTGGAACTGTGCCTTAAACGCCCAGCACCGAGCATACTACTTGGCACATTATAGATGCTCAGTGAATAAATGGATGAATAGATGAATGATGCAACAGAGGCTCACTCTAGACGAGTGCTCTCCAATAGAACTTCCTGTGATAATGGGAATGTTTTAATCTGGGCCGTCCTATATGGCAGCCACAAATACTCAGTGTGGGTACAGAGCATTTGAATTGTGGTCAGTGCAGCTGAGAAATAAATTTTTTGGTCCAAGTTTAATTAATTCAGCTTTAAGATTAAGCAGTCACAAGTGGCTAGTGTTTAATGTAGTCGACAGTACCGCTCTAGGGCCTTGTTACTCAAGGTTTCTGTGGGCCAGCAGCACTGGCCTCACCTGGGAGTCTGTTAGATATGCAGATTCTCAGGTGCTGCCCTGGATTTACGACATCAGAATCCACATTGTGGTAATAAGATCGCCGGGCGATTCATAGGCTCATCAAAACCTGAGAACGCCTGACTGAGTTTTTAGCATAACATCCTGGGTCCAGGAAAAACCACTCTCATCTCATTTTAAAGCTCAGGAAATTCACACACTCCCAAAAATGTGCCTAAGAGCTACTGCCGACTCAAGGACTTTTGAGGGAACAGACTTCCCCAGAGCAGACTGCAGGATTGAAAACAGTGGAGCAACCTTTCTGAGGCCTATTTCTGGTGGGTCTCCTATTCTTAGACCTTCTTGTTCTTAAGTGGTTTCTGACAGACACTTTTCAGCTATTGATCAGTTGTGGTGGAAGGTTGCCATTTCTATGACAAATGGAAGCGGCTTGGAGAATTGCAGTCTATCTAAACCCAAAAGCTCCCTGGTAGCAGGGAGCCAGAGACCTGAGACCTGACACACTCCTCTGCGAAGACCCACAAACACTGGAAGTGCCTCTGAAGAGCTCAGCTCTGGGCAATGCCTCCTTTACTCCAGGGGAGGCTGTATTCTTTGTACCAAAAAGCCCCTGGCACCCCTCCCTCCCACTGCAGAGGCAGGCAGTCCCTGACTTAGAATCAATCCCTACCCATGGCTGCAGCTGTCATGACCCCTCCCCCAACTCTTTACCACTTGTGCCCAGTTGCTGCTGCCATAGAAACCGGTGGAGGGGGGCAGGCAAGAGAAGAGATGACAACAAAAATCTTGGGGGCTTTAGAGCATTTTCGGTCTAGGAGAAAATCAGTGAAAACTGTGAGAAAATGGTAACATTTAGGGGAGCTGACTCTGTGAAGAGGATGTCTCCTGCTTTAAAATTTGTATCACTTCTTTTATTATGCCACCAAAAATGGGACAAATTAAAGATTCCTTTTTATAAACCCAGAGCCACCTGTAAAATGTAATCACAGCCCCCACCTCCAAGAAAGGTAATATCCACCATTCACAAATCAATGTGAGTTAACTCAAATTGTCTTTGTCCTATTTATCAGCTGAGAATAACTACAATAAGGGAGTAGGGGTTTTGATAGACGATGGAGAAACTTAAAAGGAAGGTCTAGGTTCAGGCCTAATCTTAAGGTAGCAACGAGGTCCCTAAGAACCTGTGGGACGGGAGCAAAAGTCATTCTGTAACGAATTCCAAAGGCAACCTAGTTTCGAAATCGTCCTTAAAGCTAGTCTTAATTCCTTTTCTTCCCTTTTTCTACATGTCCCCTGAATTCTAGCTTTCAGGCTTGGACTAGAAAAGGTGAATATCCAGGAGGGAAATAAAAGGTAATGACTAAAAAGAAAAGGTAGGGAAGATGGAGACTGCGTGTCAGTCCTGGCAGAAGGAGGGCTGGGTGTCACTGGGTGTGGGCCCTCAAGGAGGAGCCAACTTGCTCACTCAGGCCATGGAGATTCTCCTCCAGGACCTAAATGCCAGGAGGTCAGGAGCCTTGTCTGTTCTGTTCATCACCCGTTCCAAATGCTTGGCATTGTGCCTGTCACACAGCAAGAACCCAACAAATACTTGTTGAATAAAGGAACAGATGAGACATTTAGGAGAAACTTTTCCTTGAATTTGAGGCAGGAAAAGAGGAGAACTAAGGGGCAATAGATGTTTACTAACACGAGTAAAGTGGGGTCGACTTCACAGAGCCACAGGGGCCTTCACTGAGAAGTGCACCTGCTCCCCCAGCTACCTTTTCCTCTTCTCTTCCTGACCAGAGCGAGTCCATCCATTACTTACCTCCTCAGAGTCTTCCCTACATCAGTTATACCATCTCTGTATTCCTAACCTCTCTCTTCACTGGTTCTCGGCCCATAGTTCAAAACCATGCTCAAAGCACTTTGTGTTTAAAATCAACCAAACCAAACCAAACCAAACAAATGATACTCTCCTAATCCAAAACCCACATTTAGAGTCTCTTCTCTTTCTTACTAAGCCAAGGTTTGTAAATATTAATCTACATTCAGGGTCTCTACTTCCTCACCTCCCATTGATCCCTCATGGGTAAATACATTCTTGCCCCTCTCTCTACCCAGCTGCTCTCTCGAGTCATCGGATGGCCTCTCTGTTGCCATATCCACTGGGCGTGACCCCATTCCCAGTCTCCTCGGCAGCATCTGACAGTCTCTGCCAACCTGGCATCTGGGATACTCGTTCTCCTGGTTTCCCTCCCACCTCCTGGGACACTCCTTCAGCCTTCTCTATGCCCCCTTTGTTGTCGTGGGCTACCATTTTGTCTCCCTCTCCCTGGGCAATGTCATTTCCCGACCCCTTAACCCCCAAGAATAGTGTTAGAGGTCTCTTCTACATGCTCTCTTAGTCTGGTACTTCTAATACAGAACCATCACATTTTGTTCCAGATGACTTAATTGTCTGCTAGCCGGTAAACTCCTAAGGCAAGAACCACGTCTGCCTTGCTCAATACTGTAGCCCCACACAGGGCCAGGCCATTATAAGCAGGACTGGCTACATAATTTCCAGGGTCCAGTGCAAAATAAAAATGCAGGTTCTCTTGTCGATGAGAATTTTAAGATGCTGACAGCAAAGCATTAAACCAAATGTGGGGCCCTTCTGAGAGTGAGGCTGTGTGACTGCACCGGTCATACACCCATGAAGCTGGTTCTGACTGTATGCCCTTAATATTTACTGAATGAATAAATGGCATCAAGAGCTACACATGCTGATGATTCTAAATATCCTTTCCAGTCCACATATCTCTGCTGTGCTCCAGCCTAGAACAGCCACCTGCCGACAGATATCTCCACTTGGATGTTCACTGGCATCTAAGTCTTAGCATGTTTCAAACTTAAAGATTCCTACTTCCACCACACCCTTAAATCTGTCCTACCAACATTCCCTATTTTCGGAAACGACGCTGCTTTACTTGTCACCGAGTCGCCCATCCCAGACCAGGGAGCCATTTCAGACTTCTCACGTTTCTCACCCTACACATCCAAGCAGGCGCCAAGTCCTGTGGATTTTACCTTTTCAATAGTATGTGAATCTGTCCCTTTCCTTGATTCCTACTGTTACTGCCTTGGTTCAGATCCCCATCGGAACTTGTCTACATGACTCAAGAGCTCTCCACTGCTCTCCCTGCTCCCAGTTCCGCCCCCTTCTGGCCACGATCCATGTGGCACTGAGGTGACTTTGAAGCATTTCTCTTATCATGTCATATCCCCAACCTAAAGCTCCTTGATGGCTTCCTAGAATTTCCAATTTCCTTTATTATCTGGCTTTTGCATATCCTTCTGGCTTTAGCCTCATTCATGCCATACCTTACACTTCTACTTCTTCCTTCTTCTGCTCAACCTATTCCTCTCTGAGAGTTAGCTCGAGGGAATGCCTTCCTTCGCCTTCTTGGTTTACCTTCAATGCCTCTTCTCTGTGAACCACCCCATGGTGTGGTATGCCCAGTTGTACCGCAGCCCTTACCAGTCCTTACTGTGACAGCTGGCTTCCACTGCTATCTCTAACTACCCAGGGATCTTTTCTGGACAGAGGACAAGTCGTTGCCTCTGACTTTCCAGCCCTCAGTGCCTAGCCTGTGGTGGACACACGATAACTGTTTGCTGAGAGTAAGTGACTAAATGGATGAAAAGTGAATTGACTTGGGATGAAGAAATGTACCTAGAGCAGAGGCCTCAGATAAAAACTTTTCTTGGTAACATTATTATCTGTAATTGTCTAACTGTATATAGTCCCAGCCCTCAAAAACCCATAATGCCTTTTCACTGGTTTTACAAAAAGACAATGGACCTATAAGGATGTTGTTCTGGCTGAGTCACCACTGAAGTGACTTGAAAGGTAAGGGGAAACTAGGCAGGGTCCCTGACCTTAGTGGGCAGAAGGGAGAGAACACAGCAAAGGTGGCAGCCGCCATTGTGTTTACTTTGTTTTTCAATTTCAAATTCACACACAATAAAGTATCAGCATTCGAGTCCAATATTCGCTGCTGGGGTACCCCTAATCACTTTCTTAAAGAGATCACTATGTCAAAATCCATCTGTGTATAGGACGTTCTTCGCTTCTGTTTGAATTACCAAGTTCTTTCTTTATGAGATATCTGTGGATTAAAGAAGACAGTATTTTTGGCTCTAGATCATGATGCCTCTTCCTATGTGATTCCTGGCTTCCTTTTGATCTTTGTCTCTTTTCATCCTCTGATCTTTGGGGTCAATTTGTCAGAGTGCTAATCTCCAATCTGGAGTAGGGCAGTGAGAGGGGTTCAAAGGGAAAAGAGTGCATGTGAAGGCTGACGAATCTTGTACTAAACCACCGACAAAGTAGGGAAATACCTTAACACTACATTCTGCCATTGTAGGATTCT